ATATTAGAGCTAAATGCTTCAGATGAACGTGGAATTGCAGTAGTACGCACAAAAATCAAGAATTTTGCCCAACTGACTGCGAGTAATACACGACCAGATGGTCGCCCATGCCCACCTTTTAAGATTATCATACTCGATGAAGCCGACTCGATGACGCATGCCGCGCAGGCTGCCTTGCGCCGCACTATGGAGAAGCAGAGTCGTAGCACACGTTTCTGTTTGGTGTGCAATTACGTATCTCGTATCATTGAACCGATCACATCGCGTTGCACCAAATTCCGTTTTAAGGCATTAGGTGATGAGCAAATTATTACTCGTTTGCGGCACATTTGCGAGCTGGAAGGTGTAAAAATCGATGAAAATGCATACAAGTCTATAGTGCAGATATCGGGTGGTGATATGAGACGAGCCATAACTACACTACAATCATGTTATCGCCTAAAGGGGGCATCGAATGTTATCAATACTGAGGATTTACTGGAAATGTCGGGCATCATACCGGATAAATACCTTGAAGAATTTTTAGAAGTATGTCGATCTGGAAATTATACAAAACTGGAAGATTTTGTGCGGCAGATAGGTTACGAAGCTTACAGCATTGGGCAAATGTTGGAACAATTCAATGAGTATGTGCTCCGATGTCCCACACTAACAAATAAGCAGAAATCTCTCATTTGCGACAAGCTTGGAGTAAGCTCTACAGCTCATATTAGTGGGTTGCAAGTACTTATTTTAGTTTTCTTTACAGGAATGTTCCTTTCGCCTACAGGACGGTGGATCGGAATACCTTCAAATTATGGATTTAGGATGTGCTATCATACTCGCTCTCAAATAGAAGCTTCATAAATATTCACATGATTTCTATAAACAAAAATATTACTCATTAAAGAATTTCAAGCCATCTGTATTAAGGTAATTTAAAAGAAATAATTTTTATTGATCTTCAAATCTGTACTTAATCTACTGCACTACTTCGAATTCATCGTCTTCGCGCTCGCGTTTGACACCACCACTGCCCCCATCGCCACCTGTGTTGCCTCCACCGATACTTCCAACTGCCGCAGATGCACTGGTGTCCATATCAACCTCCATTTTAACATCACCACTTTCAGCTCCACCGCTATTAACGTTTATACCGCCACTTACGCCTGAGGAGCCGCTCACCGATGTCGTTTTAGTTGTGGTCGTGAATTTTATCACTGGCTTTGGTATGGTTACTACTTGCGTTTTTGGAGCGAGCACAGTTTGACGTTTGGCTATGCCTACGCCACCACCGCCACCACCACTAGCATTCTTCAATTGTGTTTTAATTGTCGAACGGGATTCCAAAGCGGATTTAGTCATTTTTTTAGGCTGGTTAGCAGCACGAAGCTTGTAATTGCAAGCTGATAAGCAATAACGGTCTGGAGGGAGACGTAAGCCACAATGCGGCTTTATAGGAGGCAGAGGCATCGAATTGCGTACCTCTGCTAGCTTGGCCAGAACCTTAAAAAAGAAAATACGAAATTAAGACGCTTTCTAAAGATATACAAATAACTGCATACATGGCGTGGCGGTGGGCATGTGAAGGCTTTATCCAACACTACTTCAGTAGCGAGTTTGACATCATCCAAATCAATAGTTTTCTTGCGGGCATGATTTGCAAATACTTTCGCATCGTCCAGTATGCAAGTCACGTAACCTGTAGAATTAAACAAGTTAAAACTATTTGCTAAAATAACAAATATCAGACTTACGATAAGTGAACTCTAGCAATTGATTGATAACACGCGGCTCGTAGTCCTGCACATTTAGCTCCTTCAATATAGACATTATGACCTGTGCATCCTTTGGCACGTGCTTTACTTGGTTGCTTATTTTAGATTTGTCAATTTTCTCCTTTTCGGTAGCCATTGTCCCCAATTTTCTTCAAACTTGAATGCGGTGCAAGTACAAAGACGCAGATCGCAAAAATCAATTGTTGTGAATTGCACTTAGGGATTTCGGAAAAGCATCGATGCATCGAAAATTCGATGATTTGCTTTGATGCATCGAAAATTTTCCACTCGATGTTTAAATAGTCGATCTACCGATGCATCGATGACATCTCATTCCAAACGCCAGAAAATTCCAGCAGTTAATGGCAAATTTATGCAAGTTTCCTAATTACATATTTTGTTGCGAAATATTAGATATTTAAAAAATCATATGCAAATCGATGAATCGATTTACGCCGTTCGATGTATCGAAAAATATCAATGTACATCTCTGATGATAAAGTTGCCACAATTGTGCTTTTTTGGTACAATTTTAAACCAAAAAGTACATTACACCACATAGACCTTTTTGGTACTATATGGAAATGCAGCGCTGTGTATATGTCGATTGGTTTTATATATACGTTGGTTAAAATCTTCTACTTATTTATACTTTATTCCTTCTCTACTTCATACAAACTACTTCGACAAAATTTGTTTTACATTGCAAGGTTGGCAATTCCGGTTTCTTGTAGAAATGGTTCTGTCTTTTTCTATCTCACACATTTTCTATCGGAGCACGAGAAGTTAAAAAAGTTTAAATTTATGCGAGTTTTGAGAACAATTTAAATTAATTAAAAACGAATTGAACGACCCGATGTTTGCAAGCCTTTTTAAAATAACTCAAACTATACTGTCTAGTCCATGTTCATCCGCAAATATTGTTGTGTTCGGAATCTGATAAAAACTAAACGTATGTAGTAATAGATAACAAGTAAAAACCCTCAGTTCTTTAATAAAAGTAAAAGATTATATTATATGTTCTCAAAGTTTTGTCATGATATAAAAATACATACAGAAAGTGAAATGCTTGACTACTTTTTTGTCTGCTTTTAATACATATACAGTGGTGGAAAAATAAATAGGTATACGAAATTTGAAGTATGTTCCACATATTTTTTTTTTATGGAAAAAAGTGCGTATTGCTTTCAGAACAAAAATGATCAAAAATCAACGCGATTTTCTAGGAACTTAAACCTTACAATTTATTCTACTAAAATTTAATGGGCTATAAAACTGCATACTCAAAAAAATTTAAAAAAATCGGATAAAACAGTTGAAAGTTTAGATGCAATTTTGCCGAATTTGTATAATTTTTGCACAATGCTTTAAATAAGAATATATATGGAGTTTGGTAGATAATGATCTATATTGTTATAGAAAAATAATAAATATTAAATAAATAAAAGAATAGGCAAAAAATGTTAAAATGTCGTGTCACTATTTATTTTTCTACCACTGTATGTATATTTTTACAAGATTTTTATTTAAAAGGCGTTAAATAAATGTATATTTGGTTTAAACATTCTTTGTTTCTATGAAGCGTTTAAAATTTTTTGTTGGTACGTTTTTATTTGATTTGGAATTCTCTAATAGCAGATGCGTAGTCGTCAGTTTGGACAATTCTCTAAAGGCCCGTTTACATACAACTTTGGCGTTGCGTTGGCGTTGGCGTCGCTTCGACAGCTGACTATGAATACATGCATTTATATGAAAGTCTCCACATAACCAAAGTTGGGCAACGCCAACGCCAACACAACGCAGAAAGATGACCAACTCTCAACTTTTCGCGCGCGTCATTCGTCAGCTGTTCCAAATAATCAAAATTATGTGATTCAATTTTCATTTTTAATCAAATGCGGGCAAGAAATATATTTTTTAAAGCAATTATTGATGTAAAATTTTGGTTTTTGGTGCCGCTAGTATGTTAATTTAGTGACCAAAGTATTCTCTGCTAAGCGTTCATTGTAGCAAGCGCGGGCGTTACTCGCGCTGCTGTCAAAGCGACGCCAGCGCCGACGCAACGCCAAAGTTGTATGTGGACGGGCCTTAATAGCAGATGCGTAGTCGTCAGTTTGTATTGTTTGTTCGAAAAACTGCTTCAAGTTCAAGTTCAAGTTCAAGTGTGCGAGAGGGAACATCCCTATTTGCATTCGCGGCAGTGAACGTCAAAAAATCTGTAGTGTTGCCATATTATAACAAAATAAATAAATAAATAATGGTATGCTTTGCATTTTACGCTATTTTCGACGAAAATATTTGGGGTATTCACTACGGTGTCGTAAGTGTCGTATTGTTGTATGTCGCAAACTTTAAACGCCTAAAAAGTATGTTAAAGGGGTCCGTACAGTACCATCAAAGTCATGCTATGAATTTTTGCGGTGTTAAATAATAGTTGGTTGTCGTTTCAAGTTCTCTAAAGTTAAAGTTTACGACATACAACAATACGACTCTTATACTAGGTTCACATATAAGTAGATTATCCTCATTTTCGAGCTTAACACCCTAATCTGTAATTATAACAAGGGATTAGCCATATAAAATTCGTCCCTTGTTAATCTAATTATAAAATAATCTCAGATTTAACCGATAACTTTTCGGTGTCCATCCTAGTTTTATCGATTGTTTTTGCGAAAGAGAGGAGAAATAAATACCAATTGTAAAAGCAAACAAAAATGTACGCTAGCAAGGTTTGTAAAGGTATTTTTAATAAAATGTTAAGTTAAAATATATTTATATTGCTTAATATAGCAGAAAAACGTGATCACGGTGGCACAGAGAAGAAACATAAATTTTCCTTGAGATGTGAGAATAACAAGCACAACAAATTTGACGGCTAATAATCTGAGATTTGCCTGTGTAAACGGGGTGATTAAAAAACGAGCTTTGATTGAGTTAATATTGATATGTGAACATAGTTTTACGACACCTTTGTGAATCCCTCAATTGCAAGAGGATAGAAATTCTAAGGTGACAGTTTTTGACCACGTTTTTTGTTTTATTTTATAATTAATGGCCAGCAAAAATTATTAATCTTAACAAGGCTGACAAGTTCTTTTGCTACTTTAAAGTCTTGTTTTTTTGTGTTCGATGTTATAGTTTAGAAGATTATTTCGCAATCCCTTCGCAAACCTCCAAATAATTTTTAATTATCGGTTATTTGGTAACTCTGTTAGATATTATTTGTTCAATGCAACTCTGATATAAACCATTCATATCGCCATTTTGATTAATCATCGAAATGAATCAATTCAATTACAATTAGTTGGTAATTGTTGGAATTGGTCTACCCGGAAAAATTATATCGTCTTTGGCTGAGTTAAAAAAATAAAATGTATAAATTGTGTAGCATTTAACGAAATGAGTGCAAGTGGCTATAATAAACAAATAAGAGATGAAAAAACAAGCGCTTTATCAGCCTTTTATATTTAGTGGAAAATACTTTGAAATCGTAGATCAGGTGAGTTCGATTAAAAAAAGTTTGTTATTATTTATAAGCAGTAATTTAAAAAAAATTTTAGTATATTGAAACAAGTCACCAACGTACAGGAGACTTTATAAGTGCGCGTTGTTTACATTGCCCAGATGGAAGGACAGTAATTAAAGCACCTCGAAAGGTATCCTCAAATTTGTTAAGACATATGCGACAACATCACCCCCAGGTCTACGAAGAATATCGTCAAAACAAGCCAAGAGCAAGTCAGAGGCGCAGAACACTAGAGTCGGAAATGGTAGGTACAAAATGTATGCCGTATTACACGGCCAATGTGTACATATGTATACATTTTGCGTATTTAAAATATCAGTGTTATTTCCTTAAACAGACTGAACCAACGAATACTTTAGTAAAATTGGAAAGTTGCGAGATAGAGTCTGAGACTATCGTTCCAAACTCTGTACCAATAATGGATAACAATCAGTATAATCAATATGTATCTACTCAAACCGGTTTCCATGAAAACTCCGATAGGCAATATGTAAACTACCAGACATTTGTGCACAATACGTCCGACCCAATGAGTATTAATGATCAATCAACATACAATATTAAACCAGAAGCTGAATATAATCATACGGGCGTTTCAANCCAATGAGTATTAATGATCAATCAACATACAATATTAAACCAGAAGCTGACGTTTCAGGCTATGATGCTAATAACAGTACGCAAATGGTTCAAGTGGATGACAGGTGAGTAAATTCATATATGTATATCTTTAATAGTGTTTTATTTAATCTGCATATTAAAGTAATGAAGCCGATTTGCAAGCATTCGATTCCGATGACATACCAGTTATAGTAAACGGAAAATATTTTAAAATTGTTGAAGAGGTAATCCTAGGTTCTAAGGCCTCTCATAGCTATAGTTTTTTATATTATGAATTATATGTAATAGATAAACGCTACAGAACATCAGCGTGCCACACGGGGCATTGTAGCAGTTTGTCAACATTGCTCCCGTGAAAAAGCAAGACCGATACATGGATCCATGAGAATAACTTCGAATTTCGTTCGACATTTGAAGACTCTTCATCCAGAAAAATACAAAGAATTTGTAACTGATAGGCAAAACTATGCTCGTTTGCAGCGACCAAAGAGGGGTCAAAAACGCAAATTTGCACTTGATGGGCAGGTAAATAAGTTTGCAGCTACATTGATTAATTTTATGCTTCTTTTGTTTTGCATCCATAGTATGGAAACTGTTCCCGATTAGAAGGATACTTTGATAGCGAAACTAATGCGCAGTACCCAGAAGGTGCTTCTGCATACAACGATGACACTCAACCTTCGTCAGCGAATAATTCTTATAATGCAGAGTGAGTGAGGGGAATAATATTTATATATGTATATTGTTCCTTAATATAGAAAAGCCCTATCTTAATCCTTGGCTAATCACTGTCTAAGCCTTACTAAATTAAGTAGTAAAGATTACTACAGTAAGTAATAGACATTAATTAAAAAAGTATTACAGAAAATTGCGTCGTTATTGCAAAGGACCATCGACGTGCTAAATAAATTAAGATACTCGAATATTTAAAATTTTGCGCCGTTTCCTCAAGTAGGTTTTCAAATTTATCTGCCCTTCAAACATTGTTCCCGAACAAAATTTGTGTTTGACGGCCAGTTAAATTTTAAAACCTTTTTGAGAAAATGGCCCTTTTTTCCTAATAATTGCCTTCTTTTCAATAACAAATTTTATAGCAATACCGACGCTGAATCGAACGATACTCATTTATCAGGAGATCAGGAGGAAAAAATTAGTTTGCCCTCTTGCCAACTAACATGCGATCCAAATGACATACCTACCATACTAAATGGAAAATACTTTAAAATTGTTGAGCAAGTAAGAAATGTTATGAATAAAAATTCATTTTTTAATGGCAAATACTTTTGTATCAGGACATGAATAGTAATCGCGCTTCTGTCAGCGTTGTAGCTGCCTGCCAGTTTTGCGACACTGATAAGTTGGTAAAAGGTCCACTCAAAGTGACATCGAATTTCGTGCAACATTTGCGTTCGCATCATTTTAAGGAGTATAATATGTATGTACAAGAAAAATTCCACAGCAACATAAGGGGCCGACGCACACTTACTAGACAGCCAACCACAATGCCATTTATTGAAAAACTCTTGAATTTCATTTTGTTATCCAACGTACCAGTCTCTGTAGTGGAAGAGCCATCTTTCATTGAACTTTTTCAAGGCACCGGCCTAGCAGTGTGCTCCTCATCGCAACTACTTGCGCGTCTGGATGAGTCGCATACATGCTTTGTAGAAAATATAAAGCGCAGCCTGCTGGATGTACGGTGCATTTGTGTAACGGCTGATATTTGGACTAGTCGAAATAAACACTACTTTGGCTATTGTGGTTTTTGGTTAGATAATGAACTTAAGCGCCAGATGGCAGTGTTATCATGCGTTAGGCTCAGTAGTATGCCGACTAACAATGAAATTCAGTCCTTAATAGGGCAGATACATAGCAATTATGAATTGAGCGCAGATAAAATCATATGTACAGTGGTTGATGGCGTGCAGGATTACGTTCAAACATATCACAATTTCAGCATTAAAAGTAAGTAGTAGCAATAGGAATGGCATCGCCCGTTGTGATTTATTTTTCTCTATATCAAAGGTATGTGCAACGAATACTACGATGAAGACTTCGGGTTCTCTATCAGCAGTGCTCAGCATTTATTGAACCAACTGCCACAGCAAATGAAACGTGGTGAATATAGTTTACATCAATTGACAGTTTTTGACTTTAACAATATATTAAAATCACATGAAATGCTGCAACTTGCGTTGACACGGTAAATTACTTTGGTACCAAGCATGTCCTTGTCACAGAAATATTTAATCATAATTTGATTTCAGTTGTTTAAATATATTAAACAAGTGCAGGGATTTCGAGAATGCGGAAGTTGCCGCATGCTTATTTGACACGCGCTTGACACTAACTGATGTGCGGTGGCCTACCTGGTACGCTTTGCTAACACAGCTCCTCAAGTACAAGCACAAAATAGATGAGTTGTGCATTTCTCTAAATGTTCCCAATTTTACAAAAAACGAAATTCAGTACTTGGAAGATTTTTGCATGATACTAAAGCCAATAGCAGATGCTTTGGAGTTCCTGCAGCAAGATAATTATTTGTATTATGGCTACTTTCTTCCCACCCTGGTTACAATCAAAGTCAAATTGAAAAAGTTGCACGAGTGCAGACGTATAAAACACTTGCACGCTGTAGCACAACAAATGAGCGATGCTTTATCGAATCGTTTTGGAAAATATTTCGAAATGGATTCTGACTGCAACGATGCCATAATTGCGGCAATAGTATGCCCAGCCGTTAAAATGCGCTTTGTGGAAGCTTTGCGTGAATCCGCAGCGCATGTTACTACGGAAACGCTTACGCAGCTTTTTGTGGATCATGCGCAAGAGTTTTACGTAGCCGAAATTAAGCAGCGTCCACCATCCGTAGATTCCTTCCTTTGTTTTACTGCGGATGATAATGAAGGTATATTCCAGTACTACATATTCCCCTTAAAATTATTAAATTGCTGATTAAGATTCCAACAATTTTATAAGATATATATAAGAGTATTTTAAATTCTCTCAGATTTCTCCACAGAAAATTGCCCAACCGTCGTTATACGCAAAGAGTTGACAGGTTACTTGCATGATGAGGACAAAACTTTGGCTTGTTTAGATCGTTATCCACTAGTTAAACAAGTTTTTCATAAATACAACACCTTGCCGCCAACTTCAATGGCGCTGGAAAATTTCTTCCAAACTTTCTTGAATGTGCTTAATGGACAAAAGGAACAGTATTTAAATGATGAGCATTTCGAGCGGTTAGTCCTTACGAAGGCAAATAAAATTTTGTAAGAGTACTACTTAAATTAATTCAGCGTCTAAATGTTGGATTTGAGCATGAAAATATTGTGTATTAATCTAATAAAAATAAATGCATATTTAGTTTAAAATAGTATTATTTAGTATAAATTTCTAAATTTCACCGATGCATGTATCAATATAAACACAGCAGGCATAGTGGTTTGAAATTGGCTTCCGATTATTAGAGTTTAATGGCTTAAAATGTTTATACTCGTGTTATTCTACCCAATCCGTGTCGTTGTCCTCGTCGTCGTCGTCATCCGACTGTTTTCGTACAGCTGGTGGTGGTATCAAGGCTGATAAGCGCGACATAACCGGATTACCGGTTGTAGCTGCACGAATACTAATCACTACTTTGTCCACACTATCAGCAGAATTAACATTTTCTTTGTCTTTGGTTCCTGAAATACCCTTCCGGCGCATTAACAGCTTATTGTGCAAATCTGCCATAAGATCTCCGCCCCCTGAATTGCTTGTTTTGAATTTGGTTTCACTCGTTTTAGTGCTCAAACGATTATCGACCACATCAACAGGCGCAGCAGCACGTAAACGCCCACCGCGCGCGCCTCCCGCTTTACGTATGGCATCCATCAGCTCAGTGCGTGAATTGCTAGTTTTCGGCGGCAGAAAATTCGAAGACTTGGATTTTTGGCTGGTGTTTTCCACTGGTGTTGACTGTGTCTGTAACGGTGGTAGTGGCGGTGGCGGTGGCGGTGGTGGAGGAGGTGGTGGTGGAGTTGTTGCTGTTGCTACTACTATAGCTGAGTCTACCACACTGCTAGATTGCTTAACGTCCGCGAGTGCTGCTGGCGGAATTGGTGGCATTAGTTGGTGTGTTCCCCGTACTTCCATTGATTGTGAGATGTTTTCTAGTTTACAGTTTGACTCTTCCAATTCAGGCAAATCGGGCAGATTCTCAATGTATAACGAAGGCGCTATTTGTTGCTGATCTTTGCCCTCGAAATGTATATCATCAGCAATGCCGGGCAAATCAGGCAAATCCAGTGGCAGATCTATCTCCGGCGCTTCATACAATCGCGGTGTGTAGCGCAAACCTCCGAAAGAGTTTACTTTTTGATTGCGGTGAGCTAACGAGTGAGGAGCTGGTTCCAAGAGTTGCTTTTGCTCCGTGTTGTCGTTTTGACGTTGACGTGTTGATTTAAAGAATTTGGCTTTTTTCCACGAATCTTTCTCAGCACTTTCGCAACCGTAAACTACTTCGCCGCTGTTGCAATGCAGTAGCGAAGATGTTGAACGTAATTTTTCCGGCACCGCACCCATACCAATGGTTCTGTTTACATGCGCTTTACTAGCGGCAACAGTATGACCATGTTGAGGCGCTTCAACGTCCTTGTAACGAACATGAAAGAATACCAATTTTTCTTGCAATGCTTGAGACGGTGGTGCATCTGCGCGACTATGGACTTCATAATCTACATTTTGTTTTTGTTGCTGCTGTTGTAAATGTAATTCCAGCATTGTGTCTGTATTACCAAAAGTTTGTGGGACGTCTTGGAAAATTTGCGACGATGGAAAACGGGCTGGTGAGTAAATTTTAATTGCCTTTTTTGTACCAACCAAACTGCGTATTTTCCCCTGTGCCCGCTCAATACGTGTGCTCAACTCTTGCACTTTCGCATTATTCCGCTGGGTGCGATTGTCAATGTGGTCAAATACAGAATTTATTGTTTTTTGTAGACAATCCAGAGCTATGGCTGCTTGGATTATAGTTTCCTCGTGACGTAGATCGGGTGGTATCACAGGCACAGTATACATTATGACAACGTAATTATCTATATGTATATTTTTAACAGAATATAGAGAATAAAGAAAATTCCAGCTTTTGTGTTAACTTTTTAGAAATGGTAGCGATTAATCGATTATTTTTGCCCGAAATTGAAAAGCAAGTTGACCAACTTAATACCATGTTCTGGCGACAACGAAAACACTTTGAAAACGTGTTTTGGGATTGTGGGCTGAAGACTGTTCACATCGGCTGTTAGTATTTTCGTTGACATTTCTTACATCCTCTGATTACAGTTTTGCTACACAAAAACAAAACCAAAATGCTTTTCCCTAATTTTCTTTTCATTAGCAACCTCTTACTTTCATTCTTATTTCACTTCATGATTCAATAATACAAGGTTAGATAATTATTGACAGCACCGGTTGACACTCCCTTACAAAAGGTTGCATTTACGAAGGACGGAGAAAAGGGGAGGAATGAAATCTCTTGGTGCGAAAATGGTAGTAGAAAAGTACGCAAAGTAGGCAATTAGTAGTGAAATTCCTTTTGTAAATTCTAATGTTTTTGCAGGAAATCTGGCATTTTAAACGAAATTTTGGACGTAATATTGATGTATCTATGTAAATTACGTAATTTATGTGCTATTTAGCTGTATAAAAAATGCAAAATGACTCAAAATTAAAATAAGACTACTATGAGATTGATGTAAACATCCCATTTAAAAACAGTTTATGTTTTCATCAGTTAAATATGCTTCATATGCATATATAAATAAACATATTGCACAAACGCTCATACTTCTATATCACACCAAAGCTACACTGTTTCCATTGTGCAAAGAAGCAACACGGTGCCACTGCTAAGGGAGCGGTGCGAGAGAGACAACTGTCAGTTTATTGAACCTTGTGTTATTGAATCATGATTTCACTTTTGCTTTAGTGAAGACACCGATTGGAATGAGTGGAACGTTCCCACGACAGTCGGGTCTACGTAACCGGAACGACCCAGATTTAAGGAGAAATCAGCTGACACGGAAAAATCTAAATTCCGCAGATTTCTGCGCTACGGGCTACAACTACAGAAAAATTCTGCGATGTTGAGTTTTCATTTACATGGCGCTTTGGTAAGACAGATCGTGTCAGCTGACTCGGGTTTACGTACCGGTAGGTTTACGTTCTTGACTAATTTCAGCTTTATATCTGGCCAAGGACTGTCACTCCAGCAACACTCCCCAAAAAGTCTTTGGGGAATTTGTATGCTGCTACAACAACAACAACAACAGTGGAACGTGAGTTTTCAAGTAGTTTTCAGCGAAAACTGGTTTTCGTTTGACAGATTTTATATGGACGAAAACACAAGTTTGCGCAATCTTGTATTCTATGGTCGGTGTTATGCAGACAAACTTTTGTTTGCCAAATTAAATGGCGGCTGCTTAGTTTGCTCGGAGGTGGTTATGTCGAGTTTGGCACAGGGTTGCACGTTCATTATGGTTTTCATGGCTATTGCCAACACGAAATGAGAATTTCAGATG